ACTTATATTGGCTAAAAGGCATTCATATTAAACACAAGAACACACGCCAAGGTTAGTTTTGATTATCGATACGATATTGGGTATTACCAATTGCAAACTGTCGGTTCTTTCAAACAAACTGCGCACATTGTTTCATGGTTCAGTGTGCTCGGATCATGACATTTCTTGCAGGTATCCCAGCATATTTGTGACAGTTGTGAAAGCATAAGAAAAAAAAGAAAAAGCAAGTCACATTTGAATACAAAAATCGTATTTTCTTTCTCTCATTGTTGTACTTTTTCGATGGATGCACAAAGTGAATGCTTTCACCTATGCGGGTCTGTTGATTAGATGTTTACGTCTGATCGAAAATAACTAGTAATATGTGAAGTGAAGCGTTGAACTTGCAATATGGAATGTATTTAAAACAAATAAATATTACTTATATTGGCTAAAAGTCATTCATATTAAAACAAGAACAAACGCCAAGGTTAGTTTTGATTATCGATACGATATTGGTTATTACCAATTGCAAACTGTCGGTTCTTTCAAACAAACTGTGCACATTGTTTCATGGTTAAGTGTGCCCGGATCATGATATTTCTAACATTTGTTCCAACATGTTTGTGACAATTGTGAAAACTATCTTCTAGTCGAAACAAAGAAACTCCTATTAAATCATAATATGCTCCTCAGAAAGTCACAGTGAAGTTCTGTAAATATCAATAAGGATCACAAAAAATGACTTCATCCTTATGTTTTCCAGATAAATAAACTGTTTCGACAAAACGCATCCGTCACATCCACGAATATGGCGATGAATTGAGATACGGTGAACTTTCTGTGCCAGTTAACTTGAAATTTCTGAGGGTTTTCAGTCATTACTGAGTTTTAATCAAATCCCAAACAAGCTAATGGATATGCTGATGCAACCCTGGTAGATTTGAATTCTACATTTTTTGAAAAGATATCAAGTAGTTTATTCATCCAGACTGAAATATACGCATGACGAAAATGCTGAAAAATATTCATTTTTTGTCTCTATATTTTCCTTAGATTCTATTAAACGATGTCACTTCCAACAGAAAAATTAGCAACAGGAACGGAAACATCAGCATTTACACAAACATTTACTTATAATACATTAACTGAATCAAAGAAACAGATTGAGGATGAAATTGCAAGACTTGAGATTCATCAGGATGATATAAAACAGGCTTTAAAATCATTCATATATGATCCTAATTCATCAAAGGTACGAATTCTACTACTTCATATATTTATTTTTTTTTATCGTTTCATCAAGAGTGACTTAGTAAGTCGACGTTCTCGTTGCCTATGAATATGTCTTTCGTAGCAAATTGTTCGTGTCACAACGCTGTACAAGGTACTTGGGTAAAACTCGGCTAAGACTCAGTTTTCTTACATGAACGAATACATTCGCTGCTTATCATGATCTAAACGCATCAGAAACGAACACATTTAGATGCCTTTACTAGAGTAACAAGATGCAGAAGCAGATTAGTTTCTGACGCATTAGTTTTCGACGCAGCCAAACGCGTTTAGTTCTACTGTACTTAAATGCGTTCAGTGTTGATTAACTCATCTAAACGCTTTCATAGATGACGCATTTCACAGCATTTACTTACGTCTAACGCATCCAAACGCGTTTCAAGTATAGAGAAGCGCGCTCAAACGCATTTTTGATGCAAAAACACGCGTTGTGCAGTGCGTTAGGTCGCAAAAATGCCTGCCTGGGACAGCTGCCCAGTTCAAGTGAATTTCGGCTGCTCATAGAAACTTTCGTGTGTAGGTCACGAGAATAATGCTTTTACACGAGTATTATGCTATTTTCCGCGAGAATTATGTACCGAACCTAGAACATATTTTATCATTTCTAGCTCACTTCTAGAGAATTTTGTATCTATCCCAAGATACTTTCTTGTATAGGTCACGATGATAATGCTTCTACACGAGAATTATGCTGTTTTCTGTGGGAATTATGGATAGAATCTAGCAAATGTTTTCCTCACTTCAAGACAATTTTGTATCTTCTCATAGAAACTCTATTGTCTAGGTCACGAGCATAACGCTGTTACACGAGAATTCTGCATCGAATTAACAAGAGATTTTCCGCACTTCGCGAGAATTCTAGATCTTTTCATGCAAACGTTCTTGTGTAGACCATCAGAATAATATTTTTACACGACAATTATGCTCTTTTCTGTGGGAATTAAGCATAGCATCACGCTGATATTTTCCTAATTTCACGAGAATTTTGTGTCTTCTCATAGAAACTTTCTTGCCCAGGTCAGGAGTGTAATGCCGCGATAGGAGAATAACGCTGTTTTGAGCTAGAATTATGCATCGAATCTCAAGGATAGTTTGCTCACTTCTGTACCTTCTCTGTACGAGAATTCTGTACCTTCTCTAAGAAACTTCCTAGTCTAGGTCAGGAGAATAATGCTTTCACACGACAGTTACGCTGTTTTCCGCAAGAAATATGCATCGATGCTACAAGATCTTTTGGTCACTTCGAGAGAACTTTGTACCTTCTTCTAGAAACTTGTGCTCCTTGCTTGTGCAGGCCACGAGAGTAATGCTTTTATACTCGACCATTATATGGTTTTTTGCGAGAATTCTACATCGAATCTGCAAGATTTGATGCTCACTTCACGAGAATTTTGTATCTTCTTATAGAAACCTTCTTTGTTTGCTCACAACAATAATGCTTCTTCTTCTTGTCTTCGGTCTGGTTATAATGCTTTTTCTTGCCTAGGTCGCGAGAATAATGCTTTTATACGAGAATTATGCTGTTTTCCGCCAGAATTATGCATAGAATCCACTAGATATTATGTTGACTGCACGAGAATTTTGTATCTGCTCATAGAAACCTTCTTGTTTAGGTCATGAGAATAATGCTTTCGTCTTTCTTTTCAATCCTGTTTCTTTTCATGTACAGAACAGTCGCATTCCAAAACTTTCTTGCTTATAACTCTCTTTCGTCATAGGTAGTAACCCTAATATTTTCCAGTAGTATGTCTAAAACCGGACTCGATGAACCTGATTTTGTGAATCGTATGTTTCAAAGTAGTGCGTCTCTTGTACCACTTAAGAAACTAATTCTACAAGTATTGGTAAATGATTATGTTTTGGATAAATTTGGTAAATTAAAATTCGACCATATTTTTAAAGTTGATGAAATAATAACGACCATTCATAGTAAATTAGCGGAAAATAAAGTACTACTACTATCTATTTCAAAAAAGAAGGGCAGTCACTGTATGTCTAATAACTTTGCACTGGAAGATGCTGGAAACAAGCGGTTTTCGTTATCTGAAACTAAAATCTTGGGGCAACAAGAAAATAAGAGAAAACGCTTTTCCGAGTACTTTCAGGTGGTGTACCTTGCGTGGACATTTTGTAAGAGTTTTCTGGCCACTAAAACATTTTCGCATTTTGAATTCCTAGACGTCGAAAAGATCGCCCAACTCAAGTTCTACAAGTCTAGATCACTCCCAGCTCGCTATCTCTCCTGGTTCAGGAGTTATAAAGGTTTTCCGCGGACATGCCTATCTCTGTCCGGACGCGGTGGAGAACCTGGAAAAGTGTTGAGACATAGATAATCGAATGTGCTGATTATCGTGGCAATGTTTGTTTTGGGTTAACATGAAAGTCGAGGTCGATAGGAGCTTATTTCGCAAAAACCGAGTTTTTGCTTATGGACCATAGAACTTCAAATTGACGTGATTCAGTCATTTTACATTCAAACTGGCTCGAATTTTCAGGAAATACTCTAACCACGTTATTGAAATGGATTGAATCGT